TTTTATTTTGACAGGAGAGAGAGAGGGAAAGTGAGAAAGCAAGCCACCACATCCAGGACTCAAACCGAGGTTATCCATGTGGGAGTGGCTAGTGCTTTAACCACCATGCCAACTGCTGGTCCCTCAAGTATTTATTTTAACACGCATCATGCCATGAATTCATAAGGAATAGGTTCCAGAAGCTCAGGCTCCTTTCCACTGGTTCTCACAGTGTGCTTCTCTGGGTGGAGCAGGTTGGCGCTTCAGTTAAACCCAGGTACCTTTTTCTCTGGCTTCTTTCTTTTTCTGGTCATTTTCCTTCACACGTTTTAGGAAGCTATCTCTGCTCTTAGAGTGCGTAATATGCTCAGTACGCATATTCATTCTCTTGGCAAGAATCTTGCCCTTAACTTGTTTACAGCAAGGCCAACAGCATGCTGGGTGACATTGTAGACTTGTCCAGTTTGCCATGGTAACATTTGTGAGACATTCTTATTTGAACAATACCTATTCCCTTGACGCCTACAGTACCACCTTTCTTGTAGATCATGCGTATGTCACCAAAGGAACCATTTCACGTTTTCTCAGAGGCCTAGAGAACATATATTGGATGCTTTTCTTTCCCTTTGTGTTGGTCATTTTGGAGACTTAGCTGTAAGATGGTGGTTCAGTCCTAAGGGTTCAGTCCTTTCACTCTTTTCTTTAAGAAGGAGAATATTATCATAGGTTTGTGTGCTGATCGGAGTGATCTAGCAGAGGGAAAATTTACCAATGTAGAGTGTGTGTGTGGTGGGGAGGGGGGTGCTGTTGCTATACAGGTCCTTGAGTAAGCGAGACAGGATGGGATCTAAGAGTGTGGGTTCAGAATGGGGGTGGGAGGGGGGTATATGCATGTTCTGGTAGGATCTAAGGATGCTTTGTCACTAGCCTAAGAGGACAAACAAGTCAAAGGAATTTGGAATAAACAGAAACTTTATAGTAGTTTGACAGCAGTTTTATCTGTGAGTCAATAAAATTTGGGCTGAATTTTTTTCTTTTTAAATTTTTTTATCTTTTTTTAGTTTCTTATGGGGCTGTGTGGTTGCTTGAGAGAGACAGAGAGAGAGGAAGAGATAGATGGAAAATGAGAAAGCACCGCCCACAGGAGATGCCACACCATAATCCCTTCTCCTCCATTTTCCTCTCAGGATTTTGGCACCATGTGCCTGGTGTGATTTTCAAGCTGCCGATCTGGGACTTGGACTGCGCAGTCGACCACGTGGGGTCTAGCTGCCCTAACCACCACACCACTGGCTAGCCTCATTGTGATTTTTCTAATACAGGTTCAGTATCCCTTATCCAAAATGCTTGGAACCAGAAGTATTTTGGATTTTAGATTTTTGTTTTTGACCTTTTGAATATTTACGTAGACATATTGAGATATATTGGGGCTAGAACTCTAGTCTCAACACAATACATATGTTCCATATATACTTTATAACATAGTCTAAAAGTGATTTTGTTTAGGGTTTTTAAAGAATCATTTTATTTAACTTTATTTATTTACCTACTTTAATTTGAACAGAAAGGGACAGAGAGAGAGAGTGAGAAAGCAGGCCGCCAGGTCCAAGACTCAAACCGTAGTCAGCCATGTGGGAATCCAGCGCCCTTAACCACCACACCACCTGCCAGCCCAGGAGTTTTTTTTTAAGAGAGAGATTTTTGCCATAGGGCACATGTGCTCACTGGAGAGACAGTGAGAGACAGACAGAAAAAAGGAATCACCCCCTGAGAGGATGGCCACACTGCAGTCCCCTCTCCTCCAGTCTCCTCTTGTGATTTTGGGCACACACACACACACACGTGTCTGGTATGAGTTTCAAGCCGCTGGTTTCAGGACTTTAACTGTAGTCTCCTCTCCTCCAGTCTCCTCTTGGAATTTTGGGCACACATGCACATGTATCTGGTTTGAATTTCAAGCCGCTGATTCCAGGACTTGAACTGTAGTCAACTATGTAGGAGTCCACTAACATAACCATTACACCATCTGCTGGTCCCTAGGATTTTGTCTTGATTCATTTGTCCCATTAGGTCAGGTGTGTTGTTTTTCACTTGTAGCATCATGTTGACATTCAGTAAATTTTCAGTTTTGGAGCATTTCAGAATTTGAATTTTTGGTTTAGGAATGCTAAATCTACAGTTAATTCTTTAAAGGAAAAAATAGCCATAACTGTGGTGAAGTGTACAATTCAGTGGTCTTTAGTATTTTCAGAGTGTTAGGGTCTCATCACCTGTATATATATCTATTTCCAAGACATTTCCATCACCTGAAGAAGAAATCTGGTATCCAGTAAGCAGTCACTCCCCTCTTCCCTCCCTCCAGCCCTCTGGTAACCACTGATCTGCCTTCTGCTTCAGGGATCAGGACATCGTGGATGTGTCCTTTAAATGGAATCATATAATTTGTGGCCTTTTGTGTCTGACTTCTTTCCATTAAGCCTGACATTCCCATGATGCATCCACAGT